ACCTCTTAAACCCTAAATAAATTCATTTTGTGCAATGGCTTCCCACGACAATGCCAAAACCAGAGTTATGGACTTAGTTATGGACTACCTAGCTGCCTCCATGGTCATAAGCAAATTTTAAGTGCCCAATTTAGATGGGCTCTGGGGTAAGGCTGGTTTAGGAGCTGCCTACTATGTCCATAGAGTAAATATTTTTGGGTTTCAGTGGCCTAGAAGGAGTGGTTCCTCACCTACACCAGCTGCAAAGCACAGCTGCTGTTGCTTGGGAGAGTGTGGCCAGTGTTAGACCAGGGGCATTTCTAAAAGTGTAACTGTGCAAACCAACTTCTAGAGCTTGGAAACACTTTCTGATCCTTTTTAATCTACTAGGACTGTCTATGTCCTGTCAAGATCTTCCCTCAGATACTGTGTGCTTTCAGAAGAACCTGAACACAATGGTGAGCATAAAAGAATGGGGTGTGAGTGATAAGACAAGTTGTTTCAGAGAGGGAGAGCTACTTCCCCACTTCTGGTACAGTTTTGAAGGGAGAATTAGGATGAGTTCAAAATCCTTGTAGAAATCATTTCTCTTAATTATTAAGCCAATCCTTGCTCCGTGTTTGCAAAGCATGCCCTTGCAAACTGACAGACCCATTTCTGTGACACCTGCAGTAATTGTGACGTGAAAGAAAAAAGGGACTGAGGCAAAAATGAGGAAACCTTTACTGTCTGTGCAGTAGTCTCCTTGGTACAGGATTTCTAAATCAATTTATATCTCAGTGCAAGGATATGGCTGAGGGAAGATAAGCTGTGCCTGAGGGAATGGCTGCAATATGGGAATGGAATTGATTTGTCTTACGACAACAAAATTTCCTGATGAAAATCTCCACAGATTATATAGTAAAATAGAAACCCTTTTTTAATCCCCTTAGAAAAAATAATTTGCCTTTCATTGTTGTCCCTTAGGAGGTGCCATGTGGTTTATTTCTTTTGAGGTGAAAAGTTAACATTACAAAAAGATATTTGTAGCAGTCTTACGTGAAATTATGGGACAAACCATAACATCATTTGGTGAAAGAAAAAGCTTGGACATCTTTTAAGGATCAGAAGTGCCCTGGAATTAATGTATTCTTCAGGATAACTGCAAAGTTAATGTATGTAGTTGCAGAACTAATTGAAAATTATCAATGACCATTTCAGTCAGAAAAGTCAGGATTTCCTAATGTTATCAAGCTAGATTATGTAATCAGTCCTTGGATAAACAGCTTTGGTATTTCTCACAATTACAGTCCTTAATAGTTTTTCCAAATTAATGTTATTTAATTTAAAACTTTTTAAACCGATTATTGCTAATCTGGAATCAGTGATCAACCCATTGTCAACTAAGAAATTAAATGCCCTTTTTTATTAATTGATATACGATTTTTTCAGCTTTTTTTAGCTGTTGTTGTTGATGTTTTTTAATTTTTACATTAAAAACAGAATATGGCTATTTGGGAAACATTTAATGTGTAATTATATAAATTATATTATTATTAATGTTTAAGATTGTATTAAGGATGCCTGTATAAAACCAGGATTTTTCGTTTCATAAAGTGGTCTTTTATTAACTCAGGGATATTACTTGTGAATGTGCTATGCAAAAATTTCATGATGCAGGTGCAAAATTACTTATTATTAAAAAAAATGCTACTGTAGTCTATCAGAGAAGTGGTCACACCTTGCTTTTGACCAGCAAAGAGCAGCGTGTTGGAACAAGGGTGTGGAAAATTCCAACCCCTCACAATGCAACAGTTAGCACTATTCCTGCCAAACCCTAGGGTTATGCAACACTAAAAGGAAAATAATTAAATAATTTTTATTTCGTTTAGTGACATTGCTTGTAACATACATGATATATAGGACTTGACATTAGAATCAATGTTCTTTTTAAGTGATTTATATATGGAATAAATCATTGAACAGCACAAGTAACTGTACTGAAATCTGCACCCTTCACAATGGTATTTGTTGACCAGTATTTTTAAAAAAATGTCCCCATGAAAACTAAAAAGACCAATTTTTGCACCTGATTTTACAAGAACCCATCATTATTAAAGAAAAGAAACAAAAACACTTTGGCAAGCTATTTTTGGCAACAAAATCCTTTGACAAATTCAAGCTGAATCTGAATGTTTTGTCAGCCTTTTCTTTCTTTTTTTCTTCTCCTTTTGCTAAACCCTTTCTACCTGTTCGAGGATCTGCTGCTCAGAACCATCCATTCACAAATGCCTGAAATCTGCCTGGCCTGTAACATGTTCTCTGTTAAGCTGCACGGTAAAAGCTGATGCTGTTTGTATTAAAAAATGGCCATTTGAGTTGGCCATGACCTCCACTCTGGATTCAGGTGCAGTTGTGACTGTCTGAGGTGTTGGGTCACACTTTGGTGCATATATATCTATATATCTATATCTATATCTATATCTATATCTATAGCTAAAAGGCAGATGTGCTTGTTTAGTTTGTTTTAAATCTCTAGTTATTTCTCTTCTGTCATTACAGCTTTCTTATTCCCACTTATTTCCTTCTGGTAGTACTTCTTTAGTAGTATTTAATTTATTTTTCACTCAACCTGTTACCCTATTAATAGGAAAAATTATTTGCATTTTGTTTCTTATTGCTGCTCCTCACTTCCATTTTCTTATTCTTTCTTAAAAGAATGGAATTTTAATTAAAACAGTGACTCACAGAACTGGAAAGTATCTCAGTCAGGAAATAATATGCATTAGTGTTCAGAATAACTGAGAGACTTTGGCGTAAACATATAATTGTATAGAAAGTATTTTAATAGAGATTTATCACACCAAGGATATGATAGAAAATATTCATAAGCAGGATCAATATTAGCTTTTATATTTGTTTCATAGTTATAATAGTTATGCAAATAAATTTATGAGCAAGGTCCACTTTACAGAGCCCTACAGGAACTGAAGGTTTGGTTTTACAGCCCCGTGAATACTGTGGCTTTAATAACACTACCTGTAGCCTTGAAAGACCCTAGATATATTTCATCCAGCATGTAGTTTATTGTTTTTCCCAATATAATCTATATAAAGCACGACTGCTAAAGAATTTGATATGGATCTCTAAAAATTTCCTCATTAGTTATTTCTGCACAAGGAGTTTGATGCCAGCTGGAGGGAAAGGTCTTAAAAATAAATGGTGCCTTAATTCTATTTTAGTTTCTTCCCTAAAAAAACTAAATTTAATTCTAATTGCATTAGAATATCTGCAGCAACCCCAACAGCAAGGAGCTCCTGTGCTCAAAGTGGATAGCTGAGTCCTAATCTGGAGGCTTTTTGGGGAAGCTTCTTCATTCAATTTTTGAGAATTTTTTGAATGCCTGAAATAGGAAACTTACCTCCTTATTAACCAGTGAAATCCAACTGGCTTCCAGCTATGTAAGATACTTTTTTCTTTTTTTTCCTTTTTAACTGTAGATACTCAAAACCTATTCCTTAACTATTTTTATGACACAAAATTTTAACTTGTGAAAAAGCAATAGCTCACAATTCTGGAAAGATTTGACTTATAAGATGAAAAAAGTACAGAGAAACCATCAATTTTTAAATTATTACATCAGCGAATAAGTACTAACTATGTCATCTGCAGTACAACAATTGGCAGCTTATTTTCTGTTACCAGTTATTTAGGCTAATAGGAGGTCTAGAAAAAGCATTTTAATAGATGTGAAGCACAAGGATAGTTAATAACCTTGGCATTTAAATGGCAAGAGAGCAAGCTTGCAGGTGAGAAATTAGAGCATTTGAGTACAGCTTGTGTGGGTAGAAGAGAGACACAAGTATTGTTATGTCATACAAAAACTTTATATATAAATGCTACTGCTGATTTGGAAATCTTGCTTGGAGTTTTTTCTTTTGGTCCTGTATAGTAGACACTATACTGTATTACTGACTCATCTTTCTTCTGTCATCCCAGTTCCTCCTTCTTTACTTCTTAATTTTTGATTTTGTGCTCTGTTCTTTTTGTGGTAAATACTGTGCTTTCTCACGTGTGCTGCATGCCTGCAAGCACTGTTTGTCTCCTTCTTTTTGTTTCATTCTTTTGGCTTGGAAAATAGAAGAATCTGATAAGGAGTCCCAGGGCATTTTGGAGTTTGTTAAGCTGTCTGCTTTCTGCTGGGAACAGCCCAGCCCCAGACTGTCTTTATGTAAAGCTAAAGGGAGGATGCTTCCAACATGTTTGCAATTTTTAAAAGCTTATGAGGAAGAAGTCATGTCCTTCCAGTCTACCAGAGAGACTGGGAAGGGGTAGCACATCAGAAGTGCACACAGCACATCAGAAAATAGGTCCTCCTAGGCCTTCCTTTTCTTTTTTTTCATTTTTGCTCTGACTTTTATAGACTGTGACTGTGAACATAGGATTGCTATGATGGAGAAAAAACAGACTGCTTTTCAATTGAGATTATTCCAGTAACACAATATTAAAAAAAAAAAAAAAATCAGGATAAGCAGACATTATAATAAACAATACTATTTTTTTCTGTCCTTGAAAAGTGAAAGGAAGCTAGTAAGGTAAATATGGTTGTGTGTTAAAATTGACAATTCCAAAAAGAAAGAAATAGAGTACAGGGATATGTACATGCATATTAAAACAAAATACCACCTTATTGTACTTTGAAAGCCTGAGTACTCAGTTTTTTCTAATCCATCTCCCATGGGCTGTAAAATAAAATTGACCTTTAGTCTCCTTGTAATTAGGATAGCACCCACATTTAAGAATATAATTGTGTAAAAAAATAGTCAATTTTATTTCATCTTACTGTGATAAGTATTATCTGTCAGAATCTCTGACACTTTATCTAACAGTTAATTTAGAAGGCATATCTCTTCTCAAACATAGAGGATACATTACCAGACTACTCTGTCAGAGCCAGCAATCTATGATCCCACTAAACAGGTACAAATGTAGTTTTCTCTCCAGCTGCTTGCAGGCTCAGTCACTTGTCTCTTTTCTTGCAGAACGATTCCTGGGGAAAGCAGTACTCATATGCACTCTTCAAAGCCATGAGCCATATGCTCTGCATCGGGTACGGAGCCCGCGCCCCCGTCAGCATGTCGGACCTGTGGATAACGATGCTGAGCATGATTGTGGGGGCTACCTGTTATGCCATGTTTGTTGGTCATGCCACTGCCCTCATTCAGTCTCTGGATTCGTCGCGACGGCAGTATCAAGAAAAGGTAACGCGTTCTCTCATAGCTCCTTAAGTTCTGAAATGCATTAACGTTTTAACGCTGGAAAAGGTGGTGTGGCTTTACGTGAAATAATCTAGTAGTGTGTGAATCCTGTGGCAGATGTCATTGAATATGAAGAAGTTCAGAACACTCCACGAGTTCAGTATATTTTTGCAGAAACCTACTTTGCTTAGAGCAGCCAGTCCTTGATGTTTAACTTGCTTTAAACTCTTCTATGAAAGCTCTACCCCTTGCTTTGGTCTTGCTTTGTATCCCTTTGCTACATTCTGTAGGTGTTTGATCTAGGTAGCTTGTACAAGGGCCTTGACCTTGGTAGTTTGGGCATGTCTTTACAATTCCTGTCATTCCTTTGGAGTGCAGCTCAGGGATCACCCTTTAACATGTCAAAATAATGGCCTTTAAATGAGGACCAAACCGTATCAATTAGTTTTGTTTGTAACTTCCTCAGAGAAGTGCTCAGAAGAGGTCTTAATTGGCTCAGTAGCAGTATTGTTTACATGTGAATCCATGACCTGTAAGATCCTCTCCAGGTCAAAAAGGATTGGGGCCAAAGGTAGAAAAGTAGACAAAGGTTATGGGAGAGAGTTCTTTATGAGGCAGGAAGTAAAAGGTTGTTTTATTCCATGTAAGACTGGAATTAAAAAGACATTAATAGGTACAGAGTTGGATCTTTCTGAATTAAGTACTAATTAAAACTGTCAGTTGTGTAATAAAAATCAGAGACAAGTGTGGATGAAGGCATGAAACTGGAAGATATGGCTGGGAACAATGACATAATAAAGAAAGGATCAGAATGAACCTCAGGAAGTGACAAAAAGAATGAGCAGAATTACTGAGGTGCCTAAAAGGTGACAAAATTCATTATTATGGTAAATGGGGAACTGGAGGAGTCATGCCAGGGGAGAGGTCATAGCATAGTGAAATCAAAGTTCACATCAGCAAATAAGATATACAGCCTGAGCAGTAGTATTTGGCATATGTCCATAACAGGGTCCAGAAAGGCAAACTGGGCAGAAATCACAGTATGATGTAACTGAAACCTGAGGGAGAAACCTGGCAGAGACTAAATAGCCAAGAGGGTGACCTTGGCATCTGCCGAGGATGAAGGGGAATGACCTGAATTTTCCAGGCCAGAAAGAGTGGGGGGAATAAAAAGGTAGGGTGTATTGGGGGATTTTCTTTACAAGGAAGCAAAGAGGGAGGAAATGAGAAAGTGTGAGTGAAGAAGGATTTATATACAGTTTTGTTAAGCTCAAATTGCAACAAGATCATGGTTTCAATGTATGAGAGACAGGAAGAGGTACAGGATGAGCTGTAAGTTCAGTGACAGAAAAATAAGCTTGTGGCTGTTCAAAACAAGTTTGCAAGCAAGAAATTTCATACTCTGTAATGTCATAAAATATGACTGAGAATAAGAGGTTTAGAAAGAGAGTAGAGATGATCATTAAAACCAAATGATTTCTGTCACTGACCATGTTAAACCCTCTTTTTCATCTCAGTATAATGTCAAAGGGCTAATCCTGGTAGGTCACCTAACTCAACTGGCTCATTGGGTCTGTTCTGTGAACAGAAAGGAAAGTAATTTTATCCAAATGGGATACTTTAGGAAGGTGTGGGACAGAAATGTCATAACCATGGACATGGAGTATGACTGCAGTTTCATTAGAGGTTAGGGTCAACATACATACACACATATACACAGATTAAAGAAATCAGTCAGAAAATGTCACTATTCACCTGAAATCTCATCCTAATCATTATCCTCAGACCTTTCTGGCTGCAGCAGCATAACACAATATTTTGAGCATCAGAAATATAGCACATGTGTAAAGATATCCTTGTATTTTAGACTGTGCTGAGTAAAGCCAGTCTCATTTGCACTTGCTTTGTAAATTAAAACCCAGCAGCAGTCAAGCAGTATTGCATTTCTCATCTCTTCACAAAACAGCAAACAAAACTTTTTCTTTATTCTTTTGTTCTCTGCTTTTATGCACACACAAACAAAACTTTTTGTTTACTTGTATTTTCTCTGAATTTATGCACACACTTTATTAAACATTAGCATAGACATATCTGGCATTTTTTTGCTCCTGCAATTCTCAACACATTCGTTTTTCCTTTTGCTTTTTATTTCTTACTTGTTTCCTGACATCAGAGGTAAAGAATAGCATGGCATTGGCAATCAGAAATTTAAGAAATGAGCCATAAATTGAATATTTATAAGCTTTAGAAAAAATGTTTTTTATTTTCTGGAAGCTATTCTTATGGTTATTAAGGGCTAGAGACAAAGGATGTCTTGAATAAAATTTTTTTTCCTACTGATTTCTGGGACCCTGGACTGTGATTTATATATATTATTAGCTATAACAACTATACAGACTTGTCTGTACATTCTTAACTGTTTCTTTATCATAGTTTAATCATACCTTAAAATAAATCTTTGATTATAGCATAAGAACTATAAGTCATTACTACAAATTCTTAAAAGAGTATTCTATACTTTTCTTTATTCTGCAAACTAGATAAATGGGAATTTCAAAGACCATTTTGTGGTACCCATTTTGTCATTATATTTTCTAAATTATTGCCATATAAAAGTTGTTTATATTTCAAGTATCTGATATTTGAGAAATACCAGCTACAGATTTCAGAGTTTTAATATAATCTATTATCCATTTTTGAGTGCATTGTTACTTTTTTCTTCTGAAATTAAAAAATCAGGAGAGTGAGACTTTCTTGATTTTTTGTGGCTTAAGGGGCTAACATCAACTTCTTTTTTTAGACATATATATCTAAGGTTGTGTATTTATTGGCACCATTTTTTTCCTTGTAAGAATTATGAAAAATAATTAAATTAACATGAATTGCTAGGCAACACAGAATGATAGTGGAGGTAAGAAAGAGGTTGTTATTTGGTTATTCTCTGAATAACATCATAAATGTATCTGTGGAATGCAACTAATTAAAGGAAAGTTCTGGTCCTTCTCACACTGAAAGCAGCCAGAAATAAAATATTTTCTTAAATCTCCCTCATTTGGATCCTTCCAAAGCTCAAGGTATGCAAAACTAGAATGAACATAGTTCAAAATGGAAGAACGACACACAGGAACACTATTTCATTAAGCCAAATGTCAAATACCATCTAAAAATTTGGCCTGTGCCAAGCATTGCATGCTGAGAGAAATCAAAATATGGTAAGGAGGCAAATACTGCTCCACAGGTTTACTCTTATGGGCCAAAACCAAATGTATCAGAGAAAATCAAGAGTGATTATAAGCCATCAAATGTAGGAGATGGACAGTAAACTTGTACCCTGAAAAGTGGTACAAAAAAGGAATGCATTGATACATTCTGGTCACTCTGATGAAGTTCAGACTTTTTTCTGCTGAAGTGAGCTGTTCTCACAGAAAAAATGCCTCTCAGATTTAATACATGCATCCTGTATGGATCCTGGTATCCATTAGTGAAGGGCTTATACCTGAAAATGGAGAGAGATGTCCAAGTCAGGAATACTCAACCCATGTCCTCTTTATAATATAAGTAATAGTTTCACAGACCATTCTACCTTAGAAAAGGACTGAATAAATCAACAAATCAATGCCATTTTAGCACACTCCTTCCTGACTTTGGTGTAAGTCAAAGAAGAATGCAGTAAAACTAAAGGCAGTATTCTAAGTGACAACATCTTTGGCATTTTCTAATGTCTAGGAAGTCAGCACATCTCAGCAAAGGCAACATTTATTTGAAAGAACCAGAAATGTACATGCTGAACTTGTTAACAATCTAATGTGAAACAAAGAAGGCAAAATGAACAGTTACTTCACAAGGAGGTGAAGAGCATTAGTTAAATATATCTTCCTTTAGATGTTGGCACTTCCTAGTAGGAAGATGTTTGCCTAATGCTGTGAAATGTCAAAGAATTTTCATGATTGAAGATAGGTTAATATTTTCTCCGTTACATTCTGTCATAGTAAAAAAAAATATCCAGGAACAACAAGCTAAGACAGGCAAGACTTGTAGTAGCATACAGATTGCCTCGTAGAATTAACACTGTTAAATTAGTTTTATAAAATACCAGGTATTAGCTGAGGAGGTTATTTAATTTTATTTTAGTGATCCATTCTCCTTATGCTATAATTTCATATATTTTGTTTATTCTCTAATAGAACTCAAACCACACAGGTGTTGAAAAAAGAAAAAAATAATCAGACCAGTTTTGTCAATTGCAAGTAATATAAGAGACATAAAAATATTTAATTCAATTATATACATGTAGGAAATGGAAAAAAATTACAACTGTCTCCAATGTCCCGAAGGATATCTTCTAATCTAAAATTATTTTATTTCTTAATTTATGATCTTTTAGCATGTCTTCAGCTAAATCAGTCTCATTCAAAAGAAGAAAGGAATTTAAATGTACTGTTTTACAGAGAAAAGGCGGTAACTGTATATAAAGTTTATTTAAAAGCAACCAGTAAGTTGTAAGTAGTAAGCAACTACTACACAATTTTGTGATACTGTGCATTTTTACATAGATAGCATTGGGATTTGAAGCTCATATTGCCCTTTTTTCATTTTTTAAGCATCAGAAGAAACATTTGAAAAAGAGTAACAGAATTAGGGCAGCAGAGCAGCTTTAGATTTTGCAGTGTGAGGCCTTGCCCCAGCTTTTCAAGTCTGTCCCTCCCAGCTCCAGTTTGGATGTCTAAATTTCCCATGCAGTCCATGGGGAGATACCTGGTACTCATTGCAAGAGGTAGCAGTGCCTTGGGGTGCTTTGGGGGAGCAGTGGATGCACCACATTCCACTTCCCTGCCCCTCCAGGAGCCTCTGGTGGGTACTCCATCATCTCCTCACAGCTCAGATCCTCCCTTCCAAAACTGGTGGCCACCAATTTGAGCTTCCTTCTCTCTGCAGTTGTTTTAGGGTGCAGTGGAGGGGCTCTGCCGTAGAGTAAATCAAGACTCATTCAGCCAGTGATGCCT